AGACATAACAAGTATCAGCAAAAAGCAAGCATAAGATGAGCATAAGGGGTGTGTGTGTGAAAAGAAAAATGAAAACATTGCTGAGGAGAAGATCTTATGCTGAAGGTATCTCAATAACCAGATTTCCTTATTGTGATCATACAAATCTAAAATGGGGATGACGTTCTGCCCAGTATTCAGCATCAGACACTGAACATGTTGATGGAAAAAACCAAAAATTGATTCAAAATGGACTCCATGCCTAACTGTTTGCTGATGGTATGAACTTTTCTCATTGTTTATTAGCTTCATTACTACTGTTTTGACATACCCCAAGAGATCTAACACAGCAAACTATCTAGCATATATTAAATCAGGTGAAAAATCCTATCTTTTTTAACACATAGGACCCATATCACACTGCTAAATCAACAACACTGCTACAGATCCAGTACCTCTGAAATCAGGCCAAAAGCGAAGACATGAACAAACCCAGTGCCTTGTGAGAAGGTAACACTGAGTTAGCATAAAATTGGCAGAGCATGTGTATGGTTGTGTTACCTTATCCCCTTTTGGTCCAGGACTTCCAGAAGCTCCTCTTTCTCCTGGCATCCCCTGTAAGCCAGGCAGCCCTGTGCCTCCAGGAGCACCAGGGGGTCCAGGAGGACCCTAGAGAGTAACAAAGAATAATTAGAAAAGATTTAAAAAAAAAAAAAAAAAAAAAAGAACCTGAATGATGCACATAATAGCAGGAAGCAAACAAGTCTGTGGGTACCTTGGCACCTTCTGAGCCAGCAGGACCTGGCCCACCTCTTGTTCCAGGAGGTCCTGCAGGACCCTGTGGACCACGTTCACCTGGAATACCATTTTCACCCTGTGGCAAAGAAATGTGTTATTCTTTGTTCTCAGGCTCATAATTTGTTAATTCCTTAATGTATTAATAGAAACATTGCTGTGTAATTTACCTTAGGGCCTGGGAATCCAGGTCCTCCAACATCACCTTTTGGTCCCTGTTTATGAGAAAATAAATGCAAGTTATTCATGCACTTTACTTAGCAAATCTGCATTGGCACCCTGTTTCTCTCGCCTATTATCCCTTAAAGGAGACTTCTCTGCTCTGCAGAGTGCTGATAGCTGTCTGAATTTCGAAATGTAAACTAGGAAGAGCTTTTCATATATTTTTTGTTGTTTTTGAAAAAAAGGAACTACTGCTTACTGGTTCTCCAGGCTTTCCATTCTCTCCAGCTGGTCCTGGTCCACCAGGCAATCCCTGTATGAAGGAACAGTATTATCTCTGTAACATCGATAAACTATGCATTTGCCTATCTAGCAAACTTTTCTGAAATGAAGATGTGTACCTAACTCATTTCAATCCTTTTCAAAGCAGAAGGTGCTAATTTGATAGCTAATGATGTGACATAATCTACTGAGCTAGCCATCTGGTTTGCCATTATGAAATATTAAGCAATAACTTTTGTCAAGTGGTTGATCTGCTTTACTTCAAAATATGATGACATGCACCCTAATAAAAATGTTTAGATGCCTCCTTTTTTTTTTTTTTTTTTTTTTTTTGGGTGTGTATGTGTGTTAGTCTACTAAAAAGAATCAGAAACCAATAAACAATAAATACACAGCACCTGGAGGCCAGGTGGACCTGCTGGTCCTGGTTCTCCTCTCTCCCCAGAAGCACCCTAGAATCAAAAAAAAAAGACAAAAAAAAAAAAAAGAAGAAATTGAGAACATTTCAACATATAAATACCTCCACACCACCTTTAAGTTATGCTTTCTTATCATTATCTGATGATGACATTGCACAATCCCAAAGACTAATGTATCTTGGTGTTCTGGTATTTGCTCTTTTCATTCCAACCATTAGATGCAACTCAGCAGACACATTTCTACATGATTTTACTCTGAAATGCTAGCTTTGGTAAACTATAAAGGGAGCACTAATATATCTCAATTTGAAAAGTTGGTAGATGCCCAAGAGCTCTAAATTGACTTTTCATTTCAATTTATACCAGGTCTATCTAACTCAGGTTTCTCCTAACAAAGTTTTGGCTATGAATTTATTAAAATAATGGTAAAGAAGAGCCCTTTAACTTGTCTTCATAAGAGGATACTTCTTTATATCTTTAAAAATATTTTCCTTCCCCTCAATTCACAGTCTCTATCTGTAGAAGCCAGACCACTTTGGCAATAACTGATAATTGCCTCTTATGGGACTACTACACTTACAGTAGGTCCAGGAGGACCTGGGAGGCCAACATCACCATTCTTCCCAGCAGGACCCTAAACAAGAAAAAATTAGTCTATTGTTATGGGTTGACTTAATTTTTCTAAGAGTAATAAAATTATTATTAATTAATAGTATGTAATTATCAAATTGTTATATAAGTAAACAAAACATTAATGAAACTTACAGGTGTTCCAGGTGGTCCACCAGGGCCTCTTTCTCCGTTCTTACCTGGTGCACCCTTATAAAACAGAAAGATCACATTTAGAATACATGTTCTGGTCAGCATACAATAACTTCAAGTTGCAGCAACAGATAGATAGTCCCACTATAGAGCAACGTGACAGTTGACTGATCAAGCATAAGCACAGGAGAAGTGAAGAAATCCCACTCACCTCATTGCCCTTAGGACCAGGGAAACCCATTACACCTGGTTGACCACGTGGGCCTGGGGGACCAGGTGGACCAGAGCGGCCAGTTTCACCCTGATTACCCTGGGATAAGCAAAAAAGAAATGAAGACATGGCATTTGTTAGGTGAAATAAATTAATATCCATGACTCATTAAACAGTGAGTGAGGATGAGATCGTTCCAAACTTATTGTGTGTATTGTATATCAACTAAGCTTCTGTATACTCTATTTTAAGTAGTATCAAATGACAAGATCTAGAGAATGTTGTTACAATGTGGCAGCATATGAAGTGCTCTGGTAATTAAAACAAAAAAAGAGACAATTAATCTGACTGTGATAACAACCTGTCATGTAGATAATGTGGGATGAGGGTAAGGTCAGTAGGAGGACTAGTATAAAATACTTGCACAATGTACATACTGGAGGGCCAGGTTTCCCATCACCTCCAGGGGTTCCTGGAATTCCGGGCAAACCCTGCAATTGAAGAAAAATAAGTGGTGTTCTTCAGTTTAAAATGTGTGCTATTAACTTACAACACATAAATATAGAAAAATACCTTTTAACCCACTTGCTTGATTTTAATCTCTTTAAAAATGGTTAAAACTCCTCCCATTTTCCCCCATTCCATTTAGGGGAAAAATTGGAGAAAGCTAACAAATTCTTTTGTTAAGAATTTATTGTTTTCTCTGAGAGTCATCCTATATAATCAAGGCATAGGACATTAATCAATGTGCACAAAAAATGTATTTTTCTTTATGTGGGAAAAAAACTGATTTCAGATGGTAAAAATCAGGGAATGAAACAATTTTGACTATGTACCTGTGCTTAAAACCAACATGATTTATAACATATTTTAGCTAGCTTGTTTTATATGTTTAAATATTATTTTTGTTATATCTTAAATAATTAATTTTCATTTCCAATAAAATCTTAATTAGTTTCCAGAAGCCTGCATTCAGACTGACTTTTGAATTTCAGTGTATTTGTTGTCAGCAGTTGTTAATTCTTAGTATAGCTCACACAATGTTGTTACATTCTGTAAATAATACACGATAGGTTGTCTCTGAAAATCTTCTTGATGCATACCATTAAAGTCTGACCAACAGCTTATTTGCTTTAATTGCAAATAAGCAATAAGTATAAATTAAATACTTGAGTATACTGAAATATTTAAATTGATGTATAATTTAATTATGTAAACATTAGATTTATGTTTATTCAATAATAATTTAAATATAAATATATATATAAATACAGTAACCCAAATACCTATTACATGTCATAAACGTACTGCACTTTATAGTAAATTATAAAATTTGCTAAAATGTAAATAGACAATACAGAAAATCATCCAATGCTAATTCACATTAAAGCCAGATAGCACATGGCATACTTTGAGAATTGGGGAGCATGTTCAACTTCATATAAGCTTCCTCATTCACTTGTGACAGATGTTCTCTGAATGCCCTGCGTCTCTGCATGGTTATCTATTGCACTAGGAATACATGTACTCAAAGGAATTAATAGTTTGGGTTTTTTTTCAAATTGGATTCCTCTATTGTATCTGCTGAGATGAGGCATCTCATTTTCTTGGAGAGTTTGAGAGTTTATCTCATTTTCTTGGAGATGTCCTTACTCTCATTCCGGGAAGACCTGGGCCTCCATCTTGTCCACGCTCTCCTGCAGGTCCACTGGGCCCAGGAGGACCTGGGCTACCACGTTCACCTGCAGGACCCTAAAAAAGAGACATTGAAATTCACAGCAAGGAAATCAGCATCATATTGAATCTGAAATAATCTATTCAAATTCACATGGATTCTCCAGAAATTTGGGGTTTTTTTTAGAGGAAGACTTATACCTTTTCACCTGGAAGTCCATTGGTGCCGGGTAAGCCACGGAAACCGGGGTTGCCCTGCCAAATAAAAGAACAAAATGTGGATCACAGGCTTGTGAATTAGGTAATGGCAACTGTTTTTTCTCCTAAACTATTTACCATTAGAGATATTATTATGAAAATTAATGAAAGAAATATCCCACTGTAGCAAGAAAGTCTACAGAATTATTTTCTCTTTGGATATAACCCTCCTGTTGAAATCATAGCCTGTCCCCCATTATTTTTAACCAGTCCTGCATTAGTTAGTTTATTCATGAGTTTTCTAAATTCATATAAAAAATAAAACAACACATTCAGTCTTGAACAATTCTTTTCTTCTAATTTAATAATGAAAAGAGTTCTATTGTATTGTTTTAATATTTATATCTACTACTATCTTCACTGATTACAAGAAATTTGGATTTGTAGCCCTATTTATATATTTAATATGATTAATTTGTTCACTGTGCATCTTTGGTTTCCTCATAGCTTCAGCAAATACTGCAATCAATGGAGTTGTAAATAGATCAACACAATTTCCTTTAGTTCCGAAGGGAACAGAAATCTAAGATTTGTAAGGCTGTTGCTATTTATTTTGTTAAATAAATCAGTTCAGAATTCATTTATGAGAATCCTTTTTGGAAAGTTACCAAATCTACTAGCCAAACAACCTGTTGGCAATAAGATATTATAACATAGAAGACATCCTGACAATATCATTGTTATTGACGTTATTGACATTTAAGATCTATTGACAGTAAAGATGTTGACATAAAGACATATCATGAATGTAGCAGAATTTGCATTAATTTCACTTTCCAGAGCTGAAATTTTGTTATTGTTCATTTTTGTTAACTGAAAAGTAATTTTGAACTTTGTATATTTTTTTTTCCCCCTGTGTAGCTCTCAAAGTTTATGGTTCCTTCTCAGCACAAATCTTTCACTATAACTTCCAGGTATATAAGATCACTGCTACTTCAATATCAAAAAAAGAAGGAAATTAATGTGTTTCAGACTGAAATGATCTAAGCATTGCAATTCAGATGAGGAACTAGATAAGAATTCTCCCCAGTTTCGTAACCCAGTTTCACATCTGGAATTTGCTGAGAACAGATACGGAGCCAAATTTCTCCTCAAAGTATTTTGAACACCAGATTTTGCTGTCTCTGCATTAACTCAGAATGTATCTTGTGCATGGTCACCTACAGCAGCTTACCCTTTCTCCAGGGGTACCAGGTACGCCATTCTGGCCAGGTTCACCATTTGCACCTCTTTTGCCTTCCTCACCAGGCGGTCCAGGAGCACCTGGGGTGCCATTTTCACCCTGGCAACAACAACAACAAAAGTTCACCAGTGAGGTTAGAAGCTTCCAACCCCCCTCCACCCCCCCAGGTTTTGATGGGGAATGATTCGGGATTCAGACTTCCTTGGAAGAAGTCTCTGAACACATTTTAAAATCACTTACACGTTCGCCTTTTGGGCCTGGATCTCCTTTTGCACCATTCTTACCAGGTTCTCCCTAAAAGGAAGAAAATCTCATTAAGATTACGGATTGCAACAGGGTATTATTCTAGAGCTACTAGATGTACTAAAATACTGGAAGTGGACATAGTATCTTTCAAATTATGGACTCATTTTTATTATTTTACATTCTGCAAAGGAGTTAGCATGCACTAGTTGAACTTGGATGTGGAATGCATGGGGCTCCTTAAAAATCCAGTAAACCAAAGAAGTGATACAATCTTAAACACCACTGAGTAAAATTTTTTGTCTGTTTCTGAGCTATTTCAGACATCATTGAGACTTTTGCTTGAAGTCCCTTAATATTTTCTCTGCCAAAGAACTACGTGTGGTGTAAGGCTGTCAGAAAAGAGCCTGCTGGGGTAAATGACAGTATAAGAGTAGGTACAACTCACTAGGTGTAGTGGACTGTAGACTCAGCCCATGGGAATATAAACAGGTGAAATTAGGATTTTAAAACAACATATTTTGTCAAATGTAGTCATTTTAGACAAGCTTTTTTTTTGTTGTGTGTTTCAGAATTGATAGATAATTTAGGAAAACAAATAAATATTATCATATTTATGTATAATTTTATAGATACCAATATATAAATGTGTGAAAGATAAATATATCTTTATAAAAATAATTACCTATTTGTTAGACCATCTCAAGTGAACAGGAAAACTTCAACGGGTTTTTTAAAATTATATCAGAACTACTTCTGTCATATTTATTTGTACAACCAGTGTAATGAATATTACTAACTCACCGGAGTGCCTTTTGCTCCAGGGTTTCCACTTGTACCTGGAGTACCAGGAAGACCGCGGCCTCCTGGAAGACCAGGAGCACCAGGAATACCAGCAGGTCCCTGTGGAGAGTGAACAGCAGATGGGGATGAAGAGAGCAGGGTATTGTTGGACTCTGCCCAGTCCAAACAATGACTCTCACCAACACAGAGCAGCAAAAGTCAGTGATATGAAAAGTACCCACCATTTCACCCTTGTTGCCAGGGCTTCCGGCTCTTCCAGGAGGGCCCTGAAAAATAAATTTATAAATAACTAACACTGCTAGCCTAGGACTAAACCAAAGGGCATGCAGGACTTTGTGAAGAGCAGGTGGCACAACACTTCTCAGTTCCCATGTGGTATTTACGTACCTGAGGCCCAGCTGGCCCAGCAAGACCCTGAGGACCAGGTTCTCCTCTCTCTCCAGGACTACCAGTAGGACCAGAAGGACCAGGAGGACCAGTTTCACCCTAGGGAAAAATAGTAAAAAGAGAAAATGAATGGATTTTATTCTTGTCTCCAGGGCAATCAGTATTAGCTTCATGGCTTCTTCTTCTACTGTGGCATCTTTGTGTGATTTGGGAAGAAGGTTACCACCATCATCACCTGAGTGCAAGAGCCAAATCAGCAGCATGACCCTGGTGCTGAGGCACAAGGTACCCACGCACTCCAGCCAGCACATGCTGCACAGCTCCTCTACTTGTGAGAAGTTTACCTGAGTCCCTTCCATAACGCAACATAAAGCATTGGCTCTACCACTTAATGGTGCTTTGGGGTGGGTATTTGTGATGAGGGTTTGTTTCATGCTGTGTATGAAAACACATCAGTTTGAGGCTTGCAAACAGTGTAATAGGAGCCAGAAAAAAGGAGGACTCATAAAATAAAGATGTACAGTGACATGAGCTGGCTAACTAGAGAAAGGACCAAATCCTATATTAGTATGCATCTTTAGCTGAATACCTTAAAACCTGGAGATCCTGGAAATCCTGCAGTTCCAGGGGGACCTGTGGGACCCTTAAAAGTGAAAGAAATACTATTAATGCAAAAGGTAAAAGCCATATGGAATTAATTTTAAGTTAAAAAAATGTCTGATTATGTGATTTTTCTCTCAGTAAGGAAAGACCTGGCAAAATAGCAAATATAAATCATGCTGTAGAAGATGAAATTTAGCTAGTCCAAAAATATCACATCTGCGTCTTAGTAACCCTGACTTTTACATGTTAAGCTAAATATCTCTGTTGTAAATTCAAAAAAACATGAAAGCTATCATTAAAGAGATTGTTAGAAAAAATGTTCAAAATTTGTTCTAATTATAAAAAAGGTGTAGGAAAAAAAAAGCCAATATAGCTGTTACACATATGAGTGGACATATGCAGGTTTCTAGGCAGATGGAAAATTTTTTGCCCACCTCAGACACCTAAATAATGTATTTGATAAGACCATTCAAAATTTGATCTGCATAGAGAACAGAAATTCTATCCATCTGTATGTTCTCTGAGAATAATCTCATTTGGGATTTATGAATTTTCTGATTTGCAGTGTTAAAGCTCTCCTATTGCACTGTATGCTTCAAGCATCGTAACCAACGCCATTATGAAATATAATTAAATAAAATGCTTGTTCTTAAATGAGTGCGCTGCCAGTCTCGGGTTTGCCAGCACTGCAGAACATCAGCTAGAAGTAACTAGACTTGAGCAACACAAATACTTAAAGTCAAAGGTCTGCAAGTCATCTTACAGGTGGGCCAGCTGCTCCTGGAGATCCGTCTTTGCCATGGGCACCCTACAGAAAGGAGAGAAGTGTTGGGTACAGAGCACTACCCTGGACACAGAACACACATGCTTTAATCCCCATGACTCACACACCATCTTTTTCTGTCTGTACTTTTCCACTTAGCTGACCAAGACCCAAGGATTCCTCAACTGAAATTCTAAAATAATAATTAACTAAATATTTTGTGAAGGAATATCCAACACTTTATCCTGTATGATTTGACAGCAAGATGCAAAAATGTATCCTTATTACATTTCTTAAGGAAATAACAGCAACAAAGCATCATCTGCGTGGACAGTTCTTAAGGTTAAAAAAAGAAGATTGCAATAGCTGTATATTTCAAAATAACACTTACTCCTAATTCACATGAAAGACTAAAATTTCACTCCAGAACCCTAACAAACAGTGGTATGATTTAAATCCTGTTGCTGGTCTTGTAGACATGTTAGACCAGGTCCACTGCTCAGGTGATATAGTGTTTGTACAAACAAGTTGCTGGTTGTTATACTTTAGTTGTGCTTTATTTTGGGTTGTGTTGGACACTATGAACTATGACTTCCTTCAGAGCAAAGAATGTACCCCCTAATCTCAGTCAAAGACTAATTTTATCTTTTTCCTGCAAATTACTTCTGAGATTGCAGTTTTTCCTCTCTCTGCCTTCTGCTTCTCCCCTTTGCTTCCACTCCTCCTCTGTCTAACTCTTGGCTGAACCTGAGCTTATGCAGAAACACTGAACTCTCCCTCAATGTGTGATGTATTAGTTTGAAAAAAGGAAATAGAGAATAAGGTGGTGAACATGTGAGTTAGAAGTGTTACGTCTTTAATTGGAGACTTAAAAGGTTTTGTGTATGATTTTACAGATGCTATATAGTTTTCTAATCCTTTGCATTATAACTGTATTAAGGTAAATCTATGAAGTAAGGAATTGTCAATATATTGAAACAAACTATGCTCTGCTTCTGAATAAGAACAACAGCTGCAACTACTTACAGGACCACCAGGATTCCCAGGTCTTCCTCTTTCACCAGGTGGGCCTCTTGGTCCCTAGGAAACATAAGAAAATGAGTCTGTTGAATGACTTCCAAAATAATATGGCCGAGCAAAGAGACACTGCTCTTATTTGCATGTCTAAGAATTGTTCAATGCATGTGGTGGGGTAATTAAAGTTAAAAGAAAGATAAGTAACTCAGTTAACTGGGAGGTGCCATTGGCACTTCCATTTAAATACTACAGGATACATATATTTACCGGTTGGCCCGGTGATCCATTTGCTCCAGGAAGACCAGTTTCACCCTGTTATGGAACAAAAACACTGATGACAGAATGAACTTTGACAAGAACATTTTGTAATTTATCCAAGGGAAA